TCAGGAGCCATCTGTTTTTGCTGCTGGCCTGCTGTTGCACCTGCGGGTCCACTCAGTACAACTTAATTTCTGTTTCCTTGTTAAACAAGAGAAAGTAGCTGTGAAGCCTTTTAATCTTCTGTTCTTTCCGTTTTAAGATGTTAAACTAGTATTTTGTACTCTTTGCTCTTTTTTACACAGTGTTTAGGAAATACTGCTTATTTTAGTAATAAAGGTCAGCTTTAATCTTTAATAGTAACACTGCTTCTACAGTCATGATTGTCTGCCAGTGAGACAGGACTGTTTGGGAGACTTGGTGTCTTTTTTTAGATTGACCTGATAGATTTGGAAAATACAGACAAGCCTTCAGGCATATCCTGGGTATCTCTTCAGAGTAAAAAAGATGTGCTGCAGGTCCCATCCACATAGATCCCTGTGTCTGATGGTCTAGGTAAGCACTTTTCGTGAAACAAAGGGCAAATTGTAAGACCCAAATGAAGACTGAGTCCTGCACTGAAGTTGGACATCCCTCAGCTTGAATGTACAAAAGGCTTGCATGCCTGAAAGCTCGTCTTCTGTCCTCCCCCACCATGTGTCAGTTCGTCTTATGAAAGTGCTACTAACTTCTATATTAATCCTGCCCTATACTTTGATTCTTACTGTCTTTTGCTTCTTTTAGCAGCAGCTATGACCAAGGTTGAGGGTTTTTTTAAGCTTACATAAATTTTGTCCTGTGCAAACTATTGACAGCCATTGTTGAAGAAATTCTGATGATGCAGGTGTAAGGTTGCAGCAGTAGATCAGTCATATATGTGCATGGTCCTTTTATTAGAGGGGACTGTTGGAGCTGTGGTAATGCTTAAAGTATTTGAGGCCTAATCCACTGCTTCATTACTCCAGATGTGATAAATGCTGTTGACTTAATGCAGAAATCGGTGACATAAAACGGAGAAATTGCCCCTCTGCTTATTATGTAGCTATGGTGGTGAATATCCTGTTAACTCCAGTTTTCAGGGTCTTTCTGATTTTATTAGGGAGGGGATCATGCATGAAGGCTGAGAAGAAATGAGTAGGAATGGCTTATATTTGTACTCAAACTGAATTCATGAACACTTGTGCAAAACTCACTTTGCATAAGCAGACTATGAATACTGGTTGCTTTTGCTGGAGTGAGGTTGCGGTGGTCCTGCAAAACCAAGTCATCATTGAAGATCTTGGGGTGCAAAAGATTCTTCAGAAGTTTCAGCCTTGCTGGGGACAGGGCAGATGCAGAACGTCCCATCCCAAATAATCGTATCTCAGTCATTTGCGACCCCACTCCTTCTCTGCCCCCTCCAAGGAGACAAGTTGTTGTGGAAATTATAATTATTTATATAGACAATTTATTTTTAAAAAATGTAGTTTTAGAGCTCCAGGTTATGAGTACACATGTTGTGTTTTTTGGCTTTAGCTCCTAGAGTATGAACTAGACTTTCTTAAGCCACCATCGAGATTCTCACCTAAGCACCTGACCTAACACTTTTCTCAACAGCTGAGAACTGGAGAAAACCTCCGAATGTCATGACAGTTGGTGCTGCTGTTCTGGGTGAAGATTGTATTTCCTCAGGAAAGACTGTTATCCTGTTACTTCTGCATACAAGTTACTTTAGATCAAAAAGAAATGCTGAAAATTCCTTCACACGAGGAGAGTTTATTTCCATGACTGTCATTAGGGTTACATTTCCTTTGGTCTGAGCTGCATGCGACACAGTCAAATGGAAGTAGGATGGTGTAGTTACCAAAAGAAATGCATTGTGTTAATTTCTTAATTATTTTTTTTTCTTTTTGTGCAGTGTTTTTAAAGTAACAAATATTGTAAGCAGTATGTTATTTTTAAACCAAGGACATTTTGTGCTGAAATTGGCTATTGCAACACTGAGTTAGAATTAGAATACACAAAATTCAAAACCACAGTAACCCTAATTTTGCCGTTCTTGCCTTTTTAACTGCTCAACAATAGTGTTGTGTTTGTATAGTATTTAAAAATATTTGTTAAGGGGAATGTAAAGAGCTACTGGCAGACTTCTCTGTTAACTGTTTGTGCATGCTCACCTGCTCTTCTCAGAAATGAGCTGTAATGAAAACTCAGGGGTGAGTACTCCAGTGTCCACAGCTCAGACCCTCCTTTGCGTTTCAAGCGAAGGAGCAGCCAAAGCCCCAGCCAGGATGGGGGCTGAGACCTGCATGGTGGAGGGGGCAGTCCTTTTGGCTCAGAGGTTGAACACCCGTGATGGGCTAAAACCTCTGTTTGCCATCTCCTTTCCCAACTTGTCCTGGTATGTGCTATGCCTGGATCTGTAGTCTCCAAGGAGCTACTCCGGCAAATGAGTGATAATGTTCAGGATAATATAGTCTGACCATGAGGATGAATTTTATGCAGCTATAGTTCGTGTCGTGACCCTACAATCCCTGGTTTTGCCTGGCTTGGTCCTGATGTCCCGGCCAGCACTGGGGAGAGGTTATGGGAGGCCAGCACTGCTCAAGGCTGCTTACTTTCAACCTGCCCAGGCTGTGAGCTGCCTGATTTTCCCTGGAAGGGCTTTGCGCAGTTGGGACATGCACATGTCCATTTTCAGATGGAAATTAGCTTTGGATTTCACATGTCACTGATCGGACCGACCTGAACGAATTCATGTGGAAAAAATAATAATTGGAAAGCAGCTTGAGAAATTATTTCTCCTTTTTCTTTTGCCTTGCATTTGGCGTGCGCTGTCTGCATTTTGAATACGAGGTCATCTGATGCATTGTAATGCAATAGCAATACAGACTGGGTAATCCTGGGAACCAGCAACTCAGATCTTGCCTTTCCAAATTTTACTGTTCTAAAACTTGACTTCTTTGTTAAAAATGAACAGTTTCCAGGGGGCAAAAAGCCCCCAGAGAAGAACTGTTGGCATTTTATATTTTTAAGCTGTCTTGCTCAATGAAAACAGTTGATTATTAACTTGATGGGGTGACAATGAGTATATAGAACTTAAGTATCTCACCACTCCCAGAAAGACAAAAAAGACACCCTCCATTGTATCATGGGAAGATACATAGCCAGAAAAACTTTCCAACTCGTTAACTTTTATACTTGCTTCATACAAGCTTAATGTAGACTTTTTTCCATCCTGTGGTGTTGTAGAGGCGCCTCTGAACGCAGCTGAGAAGGACACCATCAACTCAACAGTATTTCTTTCTCAACATGCCTTTCTTGTAACAGAAAAAGCTAAATTACTTAATCTAAAGGATTAAAAAAAGGTTTCCTTGTTTGTGTGTTTCAGGTTGTTTATTCTGCCAAGCCTGATAACGAAATCAGTCTGAATGTTTCCCCAGTAATCAGTTTAGTCAGCTTCTGTGATTGTGCGGGGTATTCGGACAAGGACAGCGATAAAGGAAGAAAGTTTTAAATAACAGGAAAATACTATTGTAAATATATTGGGCAAGTTATAAACTGGGAAAGGGTACTCGGAGTCAAGCATCATACCTGCTGCTACATTTGACACTCTGTGGTGGATGTTTTGGTGGGGTTTTCTTACTCTTGTAGCTTGTGCTTGACTTTTCAGAAGAGGGGTAGGGGAAAATACTGATTTAAAAGACTAGAGTCTGGCTAGATTGCTTTTACACTGCATATTTTGTAGTGGAGGCGAGTGGAGGTCAGGCCACCATAGCTGACTTGGGGTTGGAACGGAACAACAAAAAGTGACGTTTGGGATCGTTTTGAGCCCTGTGCTGGGTGGGATGCTCCATGCTCTCCCTCATGAGCTTGGAGAGGCCATGTCTTATCTTGACGTGGGGCCATAGCTGGCAGGAAGCGTCAAATATTCCCTTATCTGTTTCTCTCTGGTGTAATTTTAGTTTTCCAACACCCTGATGGGGTTCTGCTGCTCATCCTGGTTGTGTCCTTGCCCTTACTCTTCCTGATCCTCCTTTATCATCCTCATCCATAAGCCCAGGGGAAAGCTGCCTTGCTGCATCTCACCCGCAGGTCAGCTCGTTCCCGTGACAGCACGGGAGGGGACTGATCGTTGCACCCACGAGCAAGGACTTAGCAAGTTCTAAATTGAGAATTATTGCTTCATACGCCTGTCTCTCCAAAGTTGTGGATTTAGACATTCCCTCACCATTAATTACATCCTCTCATCTTGTAGCAGCAAGTAAAAAGACCAAGTTGGGCATGTCGTCCTGCTGCAAGCAGCTGAATGTGGTTTCTTGTTAGCTGGATGCTTGCAAGTTTCTGAAAATACGTGGCCACTCTGTTTTGGGAGGTGCATCCTGCAGGGCTCGCCTCGGGACGGGGAGTAACCGGGCAGCTTGGGCCCCTTCTCGAAGGGCGTACACACAAGTGACGCCTACCAGTCCGGTATTGCCAGAGTCATTCCCAGTTAAAAGCAGGGGCAGGTGCTTCAAAGGGAAGCCCAAACCACCAATAACTGATGCCCAGCGAGGTAATTCCTAGGTGGCACTGGAAGTGAGCAATACCATCGTTTGCCTTGGTGCAATCTCTGACAGAGATCCTGGATATCACCACCTCATTTCTGGAAGCTATAAGGTCTGGTCACCCACATTTGTCAGTCGTCTGACATCTAAACTGCTGAGACAGATACAATGCAAGGCTGCCAAAATTGGCAGCGCCACCCAACTCTGACAACAGTTTGTGAGTTTGTCTGTTTGCCCCATGGCAGCTCTTAACACAGCATCTCCACGTCCCACAAAATGCTCGGGAGCAGTCATGTGGAGGTGAAAAGATTTCCAGGCGAACTTCAAAGAGAAGGATGTGACTAACTGTCTCACAGGGAGCCAGGACATGGACCCAGCCAGATGAGGCAGCTCACATGAAAGGGCTGCCAAAGGGAAGGGAGAGGACACAGATGAAACTGGGACTGGGGGATGAAGAGGAACAGGGAGTCAGGAAAGGTAGAGGGGAAAACCTCCGTGGACTGTTTTCAGCAGATGGGAGATGTATCGGCTTTCCGGGGAGGTAACCTGTGGGTAAAGCAATGAACCTCAAGCATGTTGGCCGTCGTTCCTGGCTCTGCCATGAGCCTCCGCTGCCTGTCCTTGGACAAGTCACTCTCCTGGTGACTCAGTATCCCAGCTGTAAAATGGAGATTGCTGCTTACCTCATAGGATGTTGTGAGAGTAGGCTCGTGGATGCCTTTGGAGTTTGATGTATTAAAAGGGAGGGAAGCAACCAAAAGTGAACACAAAGACAAACGTGAAAAGGGATCTGTACTTCCCTCGCTGCCTTCTCTGAATGTAATCATGTCCCTAATCATATGATGGTGACTTACTCATCATTGACATGCACTCCTTCAGTTGCATTGGTTGGAACAATTTTTATTTTTTTTTCTCCTCAGGGTTTTAAAGATGTAGTTTTGTATGTTTATATAATATGTTAATGTTTTAAGCAATTTCTGATAGAAAACTAGAAGAAATAAAGAACAATAAATCAAACTCAGACTAAACCAAGATGTAATCAAGCAATACAAGAGTGGGACTAGAAGTGGAGTTTGCAAAGGGAGCCTCAAACAGAGAAAATGCAAATCCTGAGGCCTGAAGAAGGAGGGATTCTGGTTTGTGTCTGTCTTAAACCCTGTACCCAATAGCATAACTGGGGAGGGCTAAGACCAGAAAGCAAAAAGGGTCACTCCTTTTCAGCGCTCTCATTCTCAAATAAGCTTCTGCAAAAGGAAGGGGAGCTCTGGTTATCTTTAACCCTTGAAATAAATGTCACGTTAATCTTACTGTGCTCACAGGGCAGTCTGATGGCTAACACACAAACCGAGGAGCCAGAAAACAGCAGTTTTTAGGACAGTTAGGGAATTGTTTGACCTGATGCTGACACTTAGTACTATCTGTGCCTTTATGTGCTAAACCAAAATTGAACTGTCTCCTCTGTTGGAAGAAAGGTGCGAGGCTTAAGGAAATGCTGTAAAGAACATGGAGATCCACAGGTGGAAAATGCTGGGGGCGGTCACAGCTTCAGAGTTTTACACAGGTGTAAAATGCATGGTCATATTTCATCTGTCAAAGCTGACTTTTCTTTAAAAAATAGGAAATCTCAAAGGCATTGTCTAGAGAAGAGGAACATTCATCTTTTCTTAGTACTGTATTTGAAAGGCTTTAGCTGCATAAACTTTCCTGGCACTTGCCAAGGATATCTTTGGAGAAAAAAATAGATTCTTGTTGTTTTTGAAGGAACAGGTGGTAGCATGTCGAAAACTTTTGTTGTTAAATTTTAGTCATGGTTCCTTTTTTCCTTTTGTTTCCTTTTCCCATCTGCAGTTGAGTATGACAAGGAGTTCATGCCTCACCAGCGGCACCACAAGGAGTTCAAATTTAATTTGTCTCAGATTCCTGAGGGTGAGGCCGTCACAGCCGCTGAGTTTCGGATCTACAAGGACTGCGTTGTGGGGAGCTTTAAAAACCAAACCTTCCTTATCAGCATCTACCAAGTGCTGCAGGAACATCAGAACAGGTACTCGAGGGGGCTCACTCTGTGCCACTAGCTGCTGTCCTGGGGAAGGCTGAGCTTGTGCATTCATATTGAGAGGACTACTAAATAAATATCGCTTTTGTTCACGTGAATGGGGTTACGTTATTGCATCGTCCTTGTGGGAAATGGGCATGGTAGAGTGCAAAATGGACCTCAGCTGGAGAAAGTCCACGCTATTGTAACCCAGGATCTCACTTAGCTGCAACCTTTGTGTTGTCTTTAAATAAAGCAAGAATCTGATGTGAGGCAGTAGATTTTTAAACCAAAGTTATTATGCAGGCATTGCTCTTGTGTACTGAAATACACATATCTGCTTTCAACTTAATACTACCAGCATAAAAAGCATAGCCTGTTTGAAAAATACTGGTAATTAGTGCAGACTTGACCTGCTCCCAGCTGGACTTACATTAAAATAAATAAAGCAGTAGAAAATTCAGCGTGCTGGCCGCAGGTACAAAATCACTCCTGGGCTTTCAGTGGCAATGAGAGAGGCAAAAGAGTGAGAGGCAGAGTAGAAACTGTGACACAAAAATCCAAACAAGTGTAAATGGAGTGATTAATTTTAAAAGGGTAATGTTTCAGATGGGGGAATCACGTAAGGCTAAAAGATGGAAATACATGGTCAATTAAATGTCAGAGTAATGCTGTGGTACAAAAGTCTTTCATTACTTCTACTGAAACGTGTCAGGACTGTAACTGTTCCTCTGCTGCAGACAGAGAAAAACAAATCAGAAACAGCAGTGTTTAAAAAAAGCTCAATTTATTTTCTCTGTGAAGGTTTCCTGGGTGTTTTGGTCCTTCTTTCTGCAGCCTTTCCATTGATACCATTTTGGAGAATCTGCCTTTGATGATTTGCTGTTGTGAGGGCAACATCAAATAGGTAGTGGTTATTCTGTGGGGGAGTGTGGCCTCTGAGGAAATGGAGAGAAATACTGGGGTGTATAGGTGATGGGGAAGAAGGTGTTAGTTTTAGAAGATCAGTGTTACCTTTGTGCTTTGAGTTGCGCGTTGCTGGAGTGCCTCCTGGGGTAATGTGCTTGCTGGTTAGGATGTTACATGAATGCTCACTTGAAGAGCTGATGAAAGTCATGATGGTCATGCAGATTTCATAGATACTAACTGTGTTGTTCATTTTGAGCCACATTGACTCAAAAATGGTGAGTGTTGGTCTGGTCTAGATTTCACAAGTAGAGCTCCCACCTCTGGAGCTGGAGGAAAACCTCTGCCAAGTGTCTATGGAAGCGATCAATACACTGCTCTGTGATGGTCACCAAAGCAGGGCACAGAGTAGGAGAACTGTCAACTTTTATGTGTACATAACTTTTTTTCAGAGTAAACTGAGCAAGCAAGTAAAGCATTGCGGGAAAGAGAATAAAGTACAGGATACAGCCCCTAACGTACCCTGTTCCTAACAAATTTGTAAACTCTTTGTTATGTGCAGCAATGATGCTGGCACCTCGTATCTTTGTTTCAAATACCATGCCAGAAACATGCCAAAATCGGATTGCACTGTGGAGCTGTGACACGTGTCCTTTGGCACTGGGCACTTTGGTACCTGCACGTGCTGGGCATCACTGGGTGCTAGGGACCTCCCTATGGACAGAGCAGGGGCAGCAGCTTGGGTGGGGATCACCAGGGTGGTCTCTCTCCAGAGCTGTCAAGTATTTTAGGTCTTTCTGTTCCCTTCCATCATGTTCCTCCTGCTGCTGGCGGCTGTGCTGAGGGGATCCCGCCATTGGGACTGGGAATCGTAAAGCGGCTTCCTCCGAGTCCAGACTGCCAGCAATTCGCCGTCTCTTCTGACATGGGCTAGGCGTGAACCACTGACCCAGGGATGAGTGTCTGTAGTTCATTACTAACCTCTGATTCATCCAGTCCCTCAAGGCTCCCTTTTTGTTTCTTTTTCTGCTTTATTTATTTATTTTTACTGGTGGGAAGGAGGGAGACATTTGGCTAAAGAAACTTGTGCTTTGGATGAGTCTGCGGGACTTGTCACATCATCTGCACAGAGGTGGGCAAGATGTGGCTCACAGATTCTTGCAGCTGTAAAAAGGACGTGCCCATTTCCACCCTTTTTCCTTTCAGATTAAAGGACTCTTTCATGTACGTGTAAATATAAAAGCACATATGAAAACACATGTGCTTCTGTATAAATACCTGCATATGTATGTACTCTGTATGTATCTGAATATAAAACTGTACATATATTAATTGTCATCTATATATTAAAAATATGCAGATGTTAAAAGACAGTTAAATTAAGATATTGGAAGCTGCTACCACTCTCCAGTGTTGCCTTCAGTTGAGGTTCTGACTACATAGGCTACTGCTGCTATAGATTCAAACCTGCAGCCACATTGGTGACCTGGCTGGACTTTGGCCTGTAAACATTCTTGAAAACAAATACTAAAAAGTTGTATTTAGCTATTCTCTAGTATCTCTGCATGGAGAGGAAAAATGCCTCAGATTCTTCTGGTATGCCTTAAGGACCTGTATTCTTTGAGTGGTTTTGGTTTTTTGACTGTCAATTCACTTACTTCCTTTTCTGGGAGAGGGGAGGAGGGGCGGGGAACCCAAAGTGCTTTTTATCTCCCCCTTTTGTCTCAGTGGATTAATTTGGAATATAATGTTTTCCTGTTGAGAACACTAGAAGGTTAAATAACAAGAAAAAAAGCACTGTTTTTTGAAGGAACTTTCTAAATATTTGTAAGTCTTCTGTTGCATTTTAGCAGACATCTTATGAGCCAAAAAATAACAGCTGCCTTTGACTTAAAAAAAAAAAAAAACAAAACTAAAAAAAGTTGTGTCACACTTCCTTTGGACTAATGGTTTGAATAACAGCCTGATACTTCCTGACATTTTATGACATTTTATTGCATAAGGAAGAGTCTATACAGATCTTGAAGGCTAGCTGGTGAAACAGAAGGATATGATGTAGCACCTTTTTTCATCTTGTTCTGCTGACAAATATTCCTTCTGCTCAGGAAAATTCATCTCTGAAGGCCACAGAAGGTGCCTGTTCAGTCAACATTGGCAGTCTCCAGAGAAAGTTCAAAGACATCATGTTAATCTTGGCTTTTATGAGGTCTGAGGCAATTATTGGTAGCTAATAAAATACTTTTGGGCACAAATAATTCTTAACAGGGCAACTGGCATGTATGGATTTAAACCAGCAGTCTGCAAGAGAAAGGCAGTGTGCACCTCTGAGGGAGAAAAACAAAAAGAAACCTGCCTACTCCTCTCAAAAAAATGAGTTTGGGAGGGCAGGAGATAAGAGAAATCTTCAGTAAATACAAACCTTCACCAAAGCTCAGTGCCTGGAAGTATCCCTTGGCTCCAATTAAGTGTAATGAAGTGGCTTAATTCAGTATTACTTGAGCAAAGGAAAAAAAAAAGTACATCTGGACAGTAACAGCATGAGTGTATGACTCCAGCCCAGATGTGCACACTGCTGCATGGAATCGCAAGGCACTGCTGGCTGTTCCCTGATGGCTAAAACCAAAACCATGCCTGAGGCTAAAATTTCTACCACTTACTGAATTATCAAACTGATTTTTGCCACTGCAGACAAGGCTAAAAGCAAGGATTATATGGGCCCATTCAAGATGGTCTCCTAGATAGGGGTGTATGCAGAGAGAACGTGAACAATCAGAGATCAATGCTGATTGAAATAGCATGAAATCTTCAGGGAAAAATTTGACCCTCTCCTTGTTGAAAGCCATCAGAAATACGAACACGATACTCGTGGAGGCTCCAGGCAGAGAAATGCACATTGAGGACGGTGTGGTCTAAGTACATTCTCTCTTAAAAAAGAAAACATTTTTAATACTGACTCACTTGTGTCAGTAATATTTTCATCTCCCCATTCCTTCCACCCTTTCGTAAGGTAAAAAAAATAGTGCCTAGAAACTAGGCTTTTGTTTTCTAACCAAACCGCAGTTAACGGCCACATTTTGTCATAACACAAACTGCTGGAGTTGTCAGTGGGACGCTGCAAAGAGATTAATGAAATCCTCAGGATGGGTCAAGCTTGTGGCCAGCCGTCAGTGGTATGCATTTTGGATTGTGTGGAGAAGAGGCTTCACCAAACAAGGCTGAGGTGACGTCTGGTTTGCTCTGAGGGTGATGACTCTGGGTTTTGAAACAGGCTGTGGGCTGTAGGGGCTGACGTTCGGAGAGGGAACGGGCAATACATCTGCCGGATGCTGCTGCCCTTCAGCTTGTGACCCCCCAGAATTTAAGAGACTGTGCTTTTTGAAGGCTGGGGGGGTGGTTTTTTTCCCTTTTTTTTTTTTTCTTCTTTGATATGTGCACAATCACAGAATCTATTTGGTTGGAAGAGACCTCTGAGATCACTGAGTCCAACCTTTGCCCTAACACCACCGTGTCAACTAGACCATGGCACTAAGTGAGATTTGCCGAAGCACCAGTTTAAGAAGAGGAGTGGCATCAGCTTCCAGGTGCTTGTCCCACCTTGGCTGTATCTGAGGGAACATTTAGTTTCGGTCTGCAGAAGCTGCACAGCCTCCACTCTCTCCCTTCGATGGTACTGATGCACAGCTAAGCCCTGCACAGGGGCTTGTTTCTAAGATGTAGCCCTGATTTTGTGGAAGGACAAGCAAAGCCCTCTGCGACTTCTGACACCTCCTGGGAGTGGATTGCCATGTAAGCGAGACCTTCACAAGGGAAGGGGAGGAATGAGTTTGTCCCTGGAAACAGCTCATTAATTTCTTTTTCTTTCTCCAAACTTCCTTGCTCTCACCCAGAGAGGTGTCAGGTCAGGACTAGGGAAGGCAGTTTATGGTTGATCAAAGATGTTAGTCTTTGGTTTGGATCATCAGTATGTTTTCAAGTGTAAATATCCTGCTAATGCAGACCTCAAAACACTCCCACACTGTCCAAACAACGGATCTATGAAAAACACAGCGGCCTGTGTTAGTGATCAAAGGAAGATATGGTACCTTAATGGTCAAAGTTTATTA